TAGTTTCATTAGATAATTTTCTTGCACATAAGCCTACTAATAGAGATATCCCTTCTGATGTGAAAAGGTTAAAACATCAATTAATACAATTTTATCCTCCATTTGGGTTTTATTTCGTTGTACTGCAGCAAAAATAAGGTTGTTCTTTGCCTTTCACCTTCCACATTAAATTTTGAAAGAAGTTTTATTATTTTGACCAAGAGATTTGGAAGTGGGGTAATTCTAAAATTTGGTCTATTTAAGAAATTAGAGTGGAAGTGGACAAATATTAGAGCAAGTGGATAGTGGGCTAATTTTAAATTTAGGCCAAACTATAACTTTATAAGAAAAAAGTTACAAAGCAAAATAGGATCTGGGTTCAGCCCAGTGCAGCCTCCTCCCATATCCGCCTTTGTATGCACTTCTACAGTAGAGGACCATACAACCAAATATGCAACATGAAAATGCCATAAGCCCATCAAAGTTATTTTAATTAATCTTTATTTGTTTTGAAGTAATGTACAGAAATCCTCATTGTTTTCTGCCATGATCTCTACATCGGTATTGTCATTCCAATATGTAACCTTATCATTGCATAAGCACTTTTGGGCTCCAATCAATACATGCATGCATATATCAAATTGCATTATCAGGAGAGATAAGGCCTCCCCCGAACTAAGAACGAACAAGATATTAAAGGAGATCTTATGACTAACAATCCTGGCTGAACAGAACAAGTTGAATAGTAGAATTCACCTTTTGAGGGACAGTGTCATCGATGTCAACAAAATACTGCCTGAAATTATAAGATACATCAACTCATTTATTTATAGTCATTGAGATTCCAAAAGTAATTAGAGGAGGCTAATAAGAAAAGAGCTCCAATATTAGAATGAGATAGAGACAAGTTCAACTTACTTAACAACTGAATATGCAGGATTGGATCGTAGTGGATTAGGATAAGTCTGCCAGTAAAACAAGCATCACTATGAACAGATGAACTCGAACAACTAATAGAACTATCAATTAATTTAGATCACAAACCACAAAAAAACAGAGTTCAACTAGAGCTTATTCGGGATATGGAATACATCATCCCTTCAACTTCAACATTTACTCAAGAAGATCTTTTGACCAATAAATGACAGAATTGAAATAACAAGAAATCGCTGTTTCAGTTAACTTTATTAAATGGTTATTCTGGCACTTCTAAGATCTAATATTTGGTTATGTGAACATCAGTTGAGGACCTTTTGAAACATGCTGACGAAACATTCATTTGCTCAATGAACACGATTTTTCATTTAATAACAATGAAATATATGTATCTGACCAAAATTTTTTTGATATGCAAATGTCTGAAAGGGTTGAAATACATGCATAAAATCATCTCCACAACAGTACGAGTGTTTTAACTATTCAATCATAAACTGCTACTACAACAATTAAGTTCAGTTTACCAGTCAAGGTATCAATCAAACAAAGCAAATGGATGAATAAGGCAGATTTTCCTTCTCTACCTCAAGAGTCAAGAGTAATAACAATATTCTATCTTACCCATCAACATTCTAATTAGTATGTCGCATGAACCAAATCAACCAATGTTCTTGAAAAAACTCTTTTAACTACTTAATGATGTAGATTAACTAGAAAGTATACTCAGTAAGATAAACTTATAATCAACAAAGGTTCCAACTCGTCTCCATGTTCTTTACTTGGCATGTATAATTACCGTCTTATTAATATGTATAAACGAAAAAATGATAAATAAATTCTTGTACACCCTGATTTAAATCTAACCTTGCAATGACAGCTTCTTAAACAATAAACAATTCACGGAAATCAGTCCTTGCATTCTCGCATTTCATTCCACAAGATTCCAAAAATTAGTTTCAGAATCGCATGAAATGAGTGGCAAAACCAAAATCACCAAACAAACTCTCAAAAAAAAGTGCGCCAAACTTCAAATAAATCAAACGCGTGTATTCCAATATCAGAAGTGCAAATACAGAATACCACAAATACACGCACGCATATATACACATTATATACGCATGACAATTGACAGAGGAAAATATACAGGAAGATCGGAGATGTAATCGGTGAAATTTGGGACATCTTCGAGTACGTATCCGAACTCCCCTTTCACCATATTCATCTGATAATGATTCTCCGACCCCATGCTCGATACCGCCCTCTCTCTGTAATCAAATTCTGCTTCCTCTTCAAATTAATGGTGCAAAAGAGAAGAAAAAATTTACACATACGTACATATATACGTATACAGATTATATAGATTTGTGTGTACATCCACTTTATACTGAAACCGAGATTCCCGTGGATCACTGACTTTAGGGCTAGCAGTACGAAAAACGGGTGGCGCAATCACTCTTTTCTCGTTACTGCTGCTTTTTGGTTACGGTACAAGTGGTGTAGAGGTACAAGGGGTGTTTTTGTTTTCGTATGCCATGTGTTAGGAGGAAGAAAAGAGTACAATTGGTCTCCTTCATGTTAATTGTAAATGTTTGAGATTTGAATTTTGCAATTAACTTACATTAATAGTTTACACATTTTTTAACGGGTAGGATCGAGGGTGGCAAATTAATAGTTTACATATGGGTGAGGGAGATTTCCGCTATAAGATTTAGATTTGTTACAAAAACATGCTTCTTGAATCTTCGAAATTAGGGTTAAATTAAAAAAAAAATTATTTCCTTTTTATTTAATAGATTACCCTTATATTCGATTATAAGTTCCGACAACTGATGGAAACAAATCATTTGAGTTAGTTAACTATGGTTTCTTAAACGAAATTAAAATGGAAGATGGAAATTGAGGTTTCCTTACATTAATGGAATTCAACCCTTCAATGTACTACCCAACGATCAAATGTAATTGGACCATTTATTGGGTTTATAATTTTATGGAATTTTTACAGTAATTTCTATATTTATTCAAGTACAACATAGTAAAATTTCTGAATTTTCTAACATTATTTAGGCAATCAAATGGACGCTCAAACATATGCAAAATTTGTTCTCAAGTACATTGAACACATCACACGGAAAATGACATAATTTATTCTATGGACCTCAATTAACTTGATTCCAAAGTTAACAAACATAGGACTCATATGGCATTCAAACCCCAGTGGTCTTGTCCGAAAATCGAAGAATTATGTTCGGTATGTGCAATTATGTTCGGCGAGAAAGTTGAAATTTAATTCTTTACAAGTCTAAAGTTTAGTCTTAGCTTCTTTAGCAATTTAATTAAATGCATAAATAAATTAATTAAAATTTCAATGTTCACACTAAGAAAAGAACTAGGAAGTCTATAAAAAGTAGGGATGTAAACAAGTCGAGCCGAGTAAAGATTGTCTCGGGCTTTTTTGGCCCGAGCCGAACCAAGATTGTTCAATTTTTTTTTTTTTTTTGAAGTCCTAAAATCTAAAAATAAAAATTTCACAATATTAAAAAAATTATACAAGCACACAGGCTGGATGCGAACAGATAAGTGGCACATGTTCACGGGCCAAAATGACTTGTGACGGGCCGACCCGAGGACGTCGAGGCACACGGGTCGGCTTGAATTTGGTCCCATGCCCAAAAATAAGGTTCGGCCCAAGCCTTAAGCTGAGAGACTAGTGTTTTTCTCAACTCGAGTCATGGGTCGTCTGAGCGGACGAGTCAAATTGACATCTTAATAAAAAGTAAATAAGAACTAACATATTCTAGAAATTAATCGTAACTAGAAAGAATTAGAAATTCTTCAAATGTGTGACTAGTAAGCGCCTTTCTCCCTTCGGATTCTTCATAATCCATGTGAATCTCACTTCTTCAATCATCTTTTTATCTGAAAATTGTCAATATAGAAGGTGTGAACTTTGAGTTCAATATGACTTATATCACTTGGTGCACCCTTTATATCATAAAAAATGGCAAATAATTAGTATGCCCTACCTTGATTTTTGATATGAAATGAAAAATCTTTTGCCTTGAATTATCAAACTTGTAGTAATACTTCTTGTAAATAATCTAAAATTAACACAAATTTCGAGATGAATAGAAGTAAAATTCGGATTTGAGGAGAGGTGCGGTAAAAAAATGACTATCCTTTTTTTGTAACCTTCATTTTTAGTGAAAAACTAAACTGGAAATTTATGTAATAATAAATCTTGTTAAATTGAACCTTTAAACGAGAATTTGAAGAATTTAAAAATCTTAAAAATAATTCTTATAAAAAAATTTATATAAAAAAATTTCTACATTATGAAAAATGAAGAAAGAGGAATTGTTTATGTGACTTGTAACATATTTCTATGAATGTTCGTTAACGAGAAACTTATTCCTTCTAATTAACTTGATATAATTGTACATTAATATGGAAAACAAAGAGTTTTTAATTCCAAACACATTTTTACAAAAATACGTCATACAAATATCTGCACTTGATCGAAACTTGGGTTACCTATGTGAAATATCATGTAAATTATCATTGTGACAACCTAATTAGTCATTAAATCTTTGTATTCAAATTTATTTAAATTTAATATTTTAATTTTTTGGGCTTTTAAATAATTTATGTCTTGGACTTTTATTACCTTAACTGAGTCAAGCCTCCATAATTCATTTCTGAAATGATCATACCAACTAATTTAAAAATATGACATTCAGGACTTTACAAGAAGAACGTTACTTCAAGTGTAAATGTAATCATCTTATATAGGGAATGAATTGGGTCAAGATAAATTTAGTAGAATGTGCCCAAACTCAAGATGATGCTACTTGATTTGATTGGCTCAATCCAATTAATCATCAATGTTGAGTCGATCAATGTGGAATTCCCTTGCCATATGGATGGCACATAATTTATAAATGTGACATTAGTTTCCCAAAGTCTGAGTTATACAATTTTGTGTTGGTCGAGCTTTGAAATATAAGTTGTCAACTAAACGAGGACTTACGAATTGCTTTGAAAATATGAGTTATTGTGAGCAGATAAATACTTATAAATAGTTTTCAAGATATGAGGGCTTATAGCTAAAATATGAGCCTCTCTAATGAGCAAGGGCTTACGGACTATCTTTGTAGAGACAAGACTTTACGGATATACTCGGAAATAGCTATCACACTATGATTTATCAAAATCTCGATAACATCTTTTCTGTAATATGGGTTAAACCAACTTAAAATACAATACAATAGCTTCACTGCACATATACAAATGCCCATTTGATCTCTCCAAATACACGTGAAGCTAAAGTAAAGTAAGGGTAAGATCAAACTTACAAGTGTGAAGCAAGTAACATGCTGTCGTTAATAAAATGATAATGTAGATAACGTGGCTTACGTACTGACACAAACAGTATAATGCACATACTAGTAGTAATAATGCAATGCTATTACGATGTTGGTATCACAATATGAATTAATCATCGATGCTACTAGGCAAATGTGGGAACCCCTTTTCGACAAGCATAATAATTTATAGATGGTAGAGATTAAAATCAGATTTGTAGTATATTTTGATAAAATACGATGAAATATGTAGTTACAAAATTGTGTGATTAAAATTAATTGTCGACTTTAATAAATTAAAATCTAAATTTTAATTTTCAAACGTAATACAAATTTCAGTATATTAATCACAAATAGTTAGGTGAGAGAGAAAGCAAAGAGAATCAGCATCAGAAGCTATTAAATCAAGAAATTGACAACAATTGATCTATCAAATACTGCTTCTTTATCCTCCAAATCATTATTCAATCCCAATCTCTCTCCCTCGTATTTCAATCCCACTGCCATTCCACATTGTCGGTTAACCCCACTACTTCCATTTGTTATCCCACCTCCGCCGTGCATGCGGCTAAGCTTGCCAAAACACCTCTCATCACCACCAAGAAGCCAACCGTGTCACCACCGTCTTCCTCCGCTAAGTGGGCTCTGGAGAGCTATCATAAAGATAGGAAAAGATCAAGATTTCGAGACAAACCCAGAAATATTTGAGGATTGAATTGAGAATCCATTTTGAAAAAATGCGAATTTGTGAGAAGATATCAGAAGAAGAATAAATGAAAACCCCCCTCTTTCTTTCTTTCTTTCTTTTTTTTTTTCCCTCACATATGGGAGTTTGACAAATCTTTAGGGGAGGTGGTGATGGCCTGTGGATTGTGGGAGCAGTGGTGGTTGCAACGGTAACTGGTGGTGGTTTGCAACGATTGGTGACGAAAAATTCAAATTCTCTTAATAATTAAAATGGGCAGTAAATTGAAATATTTTAATCTCTGATCCACCCAATTTCTAATAGTAGGTCGTATTTTTAAATTCAGAATTATTACCAAAATCTATTTAATTTGAATGGATCCATTGTAGTCGTGTACCCAGTCATTGTTGCTTACCAAAATAGAATAATAATGTCCTCTACATTGCAACATAAAAGGTAAAAGTAATACCTTTTGAGTAACGATGACATAAAAATAATACCTATCATGTCATCTACTTTGTGACAAAGCAGCATTATTCTTTGAGTAACGATGGCCTAAAAAATAGCTTATCCTGATCCTGGTTGGCCCTGCTTAGAACGCTAGTAGGTTTCCCTGTTAATCGAGTTATGGAGTTGGGAGTTTTGTGTTGAGGCACAACACGGAACACAATTCTTGCTCCAAACATGCTACGATTTATGCAATGAAAAAAAAAAAATTATAACAAAATTGAATAATCTTTGCCCTGAGTCCTTTTTCCATTTATTTTAAGTGTTTGCTTCTATCTTGTGAAGACTTCGTTTTGGAAAGCACAATGCCATGAAAAAAAAAAAATGTCAATGGAAGTAAATTTATGTCTTCAACGTTAATGACAAACACAATAATCAACTTTTATGGAACTTATTTTATTTCTATTTGCATGTGGTAAATGAAGATTTCAAGAATGATATGTGAATTGAAGAAGACAAATTTGAAATGGTAACCATTATTTTAGTAGAAGAAGCACAAAAGTTCTTGTTGGGGTTGGGAACTGAGTGGGTCATCCCAATCTTGTCTCGTCGTCATCACTACTTTCGAGTCCATATACATTTAATTGTTCAGAAAGTACCTCAATTCACGACCCTTTTGTATTTGGACCTTGAAGAGCCTCTTTTATGCGTCGTACAAGTTATACTGACACGAGCTAAGTCAAAACATCATTA